GGAAATATGATAGTAAAGAGCCAACAGAAAATCCAAAGGAGTTCAACTGATATGTTCACTCAACTGATGTCTTCTCTTCAACGTGTATCATTTTATATATAATAAAATGCTCAAAAGAATAAGTAAACATTTGAAATATTAATTTCTCATTTACTAACACAAAGTTTTAAATACCAGCATCTACAACAGCAACAAAACTACTTAAAACATCAAGGTTAACATTTAATAGATGTAAGATGTCTACCTAGAAAATTAAAAACAACTTTAACTAGCAGCACCTACAGCACCGGCATCCCACACGGGCACTGCCCATGTTCTGGCTGCCTCACTTCTGCTCTGTGCCTAGGAAAGCAGTGGAAGATGACCCAGAGGGAAGGGCTCAGCTCAGGCCCTTACAGCCACTGAGAGACTGAACGGGTGGACCAAAGATCTCTGTCTCTAATTCTGCCTCGTAAATAAGCAGATCTTTTCAAGAAAAAAAGAAAAAAATGAAGACATTGACAACCTAAATAAATGGAACTACCATACTCTCAAATGAGAAGGCTAGAACTCTTAGATAGACTTCAATTCTCCCTGAAATAGATTCTATGAATTCCAATTAAATCCCAAAGAAGTGTTCTCATCATGTAACAAACAAGCTGGTTGTTAAAACAAGGATTCAAGAACAGCTCAGATCAAAATCTTTCCCAGGTATCAGGATTTCTGTGTTAACAATGAAGATTCTGGTATCAACAAAGATGAAAAAAAAATGCACAGAAAGGTAGGCTAGAGAGAGTACACAGACATGGCACGTAGGAAAAAGATGGTGAAGTGGGGCACTGGCCAAGTCACATGTGGTCCAGGGAGCACAGGAGCTGCACAGGAGGAAAAGGCAGTGTGCATCACCACCCTACACCACACGCAAACATCAATTCCAGAGGGATCAGGGCTGAAAAGAAACACAGCAGAATACCTCCAGAGCCCAAAGGAAGGTTTGCAATTCAATTACAGTTCCCCAAAATACACCACAAAGAGTGAAAAAAGATCGACCACAAACTGGAAGATATTCTAACTTATCAACACAGGATCAGTGTTACCAGTTTATCAGCTTTAAAAGACAGCTCAATAAAAAAAAAAAATGAGTAAAAAAATGACCACCTAATTTACTAAAAGGAAACACAGATGATTCAATACTCATAGAAAAAGATGCTCAATCTCATTAATAATAAAAAATGCAAATTAAAATCACCATAATGTATCATTTTCATATTCACTGTACTGGTAAACAGTGAAAAGAGAATAACAACAAGCACTGGACAGGTTGTAACTCAACTGAAACTCTTACACATTACTGACATATTACATAAATTTAAAAATTGCTGGCCAAAACCTAAATCGATACAATCACTTAAGAAAGCAATTTGGCATCATTTTGTAAACTCCCCACCCAGTACTACACTTTTAACATAACAGCACAGCAGTATCCTTTTTTCATTTTGCTCTAAAACCACTCAAACATACTTTTAAAAATCACATACTCTTTACACATAAAGATGAGAATTTTCGACATTAGGTTAAAACAAAATGGATGAATTTCCAGAACATTAAGGCGACATCTTTAGGTAAAAGTGTTATGTCTTCTCTTCAATGTGTATCATAAGTATTAGCATACAGTTGAGGGAAAAAAACTATGTTAATGAAAAAAGTGCAATGGCACTGGAAATGCACCTTTTGGGGCTGTGGATGAGGGAGGGAGGTGCAGGGATTGAAAGGCATTCCCTAACCCGAGGCTCAACAGGAGCCCTGGTTTCCCTGACGAATTCCACCACCTGGGGCGGTGCCCCAAGAAGTTCCTACACGGAACGTGCTTTCCCTTTCTTAGATGGAATGTTGCCGTGAGAGGGCAGGAGGGCAAGGTTAACTTGCAGTGGCACCTATCACAGGCCACAGACATACCAATTTTAGGAACACAAACATACAGAACTCAATGATCTAGAACTGATTCCTGAACCTCACCTGCCTCCACATACTCCTGAGACAGCTGCCACTACCACCCCGCCCTGCCTGAAGGCATCCCCCCCCAGTGCAAAATTTGGAGCATTTCTCATAATTGCATACCAGAAGATACATACAATCACTTTTGTAATAGCAAACCCCAGGAAAAAGTCAACATGCCCATCAACACAACACATTCACTGTGTGATATTCACCCATGGAATACTACACAGCAGTGAAACATTCATGACTTACATTTACATTCAATATCAGTAACTCTTAGGAATATAACATTGAGTGAAATAAACAAGATTATACCCGATAATCTTTCTCAGAAATAACAGAAGGCATAGATACACTGGTTAAAAATATACATTCCTGATCAAATTGTTAACAACAAGGAATAACACACACAATCAAGGATGGTAGTCACTTTTGATATTGAGCACATTCAATATTGATCATTTTGATTCTTGAAATACTTGGTAGATTCACAGATGTTCATTTTATTGTTTAATAGCTTAAATGTGTGCCACATATATACTGAATGTATTACATACTATATTAAAGATGTTAAAGAAGCATTCACATGTAAAAACACCTTTAAATAAATCATCTTACCTGCCACTAGAAATAATATGGAAATTCTGTCTTCACAACAACCATAGGGACTGACATACATATGGTACATAGCGTTTATTGGAATTAATATTAGGACCAAAAAAGACAGATTGAGCCAACCAACTCAGTTATGAATCCACAGGCTGACACAGGGCTGGGACAGAAGCCCAAGTGGCTCCAGGCAAATTTAGCAGCAAGCTAAAGTCATGAGGAAGCCAGTCAATAAACAGAAAGCAAAAATGTAAAGTCTGCTAACAAAGCACTAGTAAGGGTGTGAGCAACGACTGCTCTCAGCCCATGAACGGCAGCACTGTGCGACCACTTGCAGAGTGCCGGGGACCTGCTCAGACTTGAGACTCAGTCACATCACCCAATACATCTACTACTGGTGTATTTCCCAGAGAAACTTCCAAATGTGTGCAAAACCAAACAGGTGCAATGATATAATTACAGGTCTGCTTTATTTAAAAGTCCCGAAATGGAAACAACAGAGTACACCAATGGGAGTGTATAAATAAATTACCATATATTCATACAATTGGATTCCATACCAACAATTAAAATGAATAAACCAGATAACACAATAATTCGACTCATTCATATAGAAACGTCAAAATGCAATGCTGAGTGAAAAAAAAGCAAGTTGCAAAAACATATAGTTTAATGCCATTAAAGCAGCAATACTCCATAATGTTTAGAGTCACTATTATCCAAGTATAAAATGTGCAAGGGAACGTTATACAGAAAGCTGAACACAGCAGCTATCCACAGGAGACACGGGGAGGAGCCAAAAGCACCTCCACTCTGCAACTGTCTCTAAAAAAATAAAGATAATCCAAACTAGATTTAGTATTTACACCTGTAACATGTGAATCATGGATTAGATTTCCCCTCTGCAGTTTGAAATATTTCAAGGGAAAAAAAAAGGAAGGTTAGGCAACAGTCAAAAATTAAGCAGAGCAGAAAAGAAATGACACCAAACACAGCCTTGAGGCAAGCAGAAACCCTTGGGCAAGAGCCTGCTCCCTAAAGTGCTCCTTCCCCGGCACCTCACAACAAACCCCATGTTAGTGGTGTGAAATGCAACGTCTTGTCACCCCCGCCCCAACTTAACAAGGTCCATAATTATGAGGAAAGTGTTGAAAAGCAATAGTAAGAATCTGTAACACCTGTATGTATTTTCCTAAGATGTTGGGGAGCATTGAAGCGGAGTTATGCTAATGCCATCAAATACACACACTCCTGTGTCTCACTATCTCTCTTGCATCTGTCTCTGTCTCTCTCCGGTTTCTCATCTGTGTCCCCTGTCGCCCCTCATCTGTCTCCATCTCTCCCTTGTCTGTCTGTCTCTTTCCCTCACCTCTCTGCTTCTATCTCCCTCCTTTCTCATCTCTCCCTCGTCTGTCTCTTTCCCTCAACTCTCTCTCTCCCTATCTCTCTCTCTCTCACGGCTCTCCGGCCCAGGCACAGCTAGAACGCAGCCTGTTGCGCACATTCTGGAAAGAGTTTGCAACCGATGGCGTCTGTGGCGTCTGAGGCTGCCCCTGCCCGCGGCCCCGCTCCCTGCCCAGGGCCCCGAGCCCACGCAGCGTGCGCAGACCGCGGGCCACTGCGGGGCCGCCCACTCCGGGGAAACGGGGGGCCGGGAGCCGAGCGGGGGGCACTGACCAACAGGCACCCGCACCCGACACGTCACGCACTCGGCAGGCGCGCGCTCGTGCGGGCGGTGCAGCCGGCCCGGGGGTCGCGGGGGCAGCAGGCGCGGCCACGCGGGCCGGGGGACGCGCATCCCACCCCGCAGGGCAGTGACACCCTGGGCGGAGGAGCCACGCACGCGCGAGCCCGAGACGCACACAAAGGGCTGGCTCCCACGCCGCGCGCGGACACGCAGGGGTCCGGGCCACACACACCCCGCCGTCGCGCGCGGGCTCCCCGACCCACGCGCGCTCACTCAGCCCGCACCCCTCGCCGGGGGGACGCCCGGCGACGCGCAAACACACTCACCACACGCCCACGGAGGGGGTGTGGAGCGCCCCGCTCCCCGGGGCATCTCGGCTGCAGCGGGACAGAGTGACACCGAACGGGAGCTCCGCCGCGCACCGGGTGTCCACTCACCGGGGCCGGCAGCCCGCGAGCGTGGGACGCGGACTGCTGCAGCCGCCGCCGCCGCCGCCTCAGGCTCTCTGCGTCAGTCGGACGACGGGAGGGAGGCAGCGAGCGAGCGACGCGCGGCCCGTCACACGGTCACGTGGGCTGGCAGCGCGCGTGCGCACGGGCGCCGCGCGGCCCCGCCCCCGCGGCCGCCAGCCGAGCGATCCCGCCGGCCCCCGCGGCCCGCGCGCCTGCAGGGCGAGGGTCGCCCGTGCGCCTGCGCCCTGGTGAGGGGAGCGTCGCGCCTCGAACTTTCCCTCATTTTTTTTTTTTTCCCTCTCTCCCTGTGTCCCTCACCCGGCTTTCCTCCCCGCCTCCCTCCTGGGATTGCGGCTCCCAGGCCTGCGCTTGCGCGGAAAGGGCTGCTCGGAGGTGCGCTGAGGTGGAGCGGAGAGGGGGACAGAAGCTCCGGTGGGCGTCTGACGGCCCCGATTCAGGCCGTGCCCGCCGGGCTTCGAATGACGGACGAGCCGCCCTGCGCGACGCCGCGCTCCCCTGCCGAGCCGGCCGGGCACTGGGCGCCCCTGCCCGCCCCGCGCCGGGCTCGGTCGGGGCCGGGCGCGCGTGCCTGCAGCCAGGCGATGAGGTTAGGGCGGACCAGCGGTGAGGGGAGCCCGTCGCTGACGCTGTGTTCCTTTTCCACAGATTGACCAAAGCCACAGGGAAAATGGTGGAAAATTCACCGTCGCCATTGCCCGAAAGAGCGATTTATGGTTTTGTTCTGTTCCTAAGCTCCCAGTTTGGCTTCAGTAAGTACCTTCCCTGGTGGATGGCCAAGGCTTTTAGCAAGTGCGTTTGTTAGGCGGATGTGCACACATGGGCTGTGGATCCTAGCCACCTCTATCTATTTCTGAACAAAACTGGAAGGGAAGCCATCTTTGTCTAGATTGTTCTATGTCCCAGCATGAGCCTAAAAGATCCCAGTCTCAACGTGTTGATGGAGCAGCAGACACGAATACGAAGTGGATGAAACCTGGCCTCTGCCCCTTGGGGAGGGGGAGGATCGAGTTAGTAGAATTGGTCTTGAGTGCGCCCAGTGCTGTGAGTGGGGACTCCTGTGGCCCCAAGTCCCTCCAGCAAGAGGGTGTGGGAGTCAGGAAGTGAACAGGAGGGAGAAAATGGGGGTACTCCTAGTCCAGCCAGAACGGGAGGGACGTGCTAGCTTCCTAACCCCTGACTGCAAATACTGAGCTGCGCCCGCTGCCAGCTGGCCCTCTGGCCGAGCCCGCGGGTTCGGGTTCACCGAGGGACCCAGGGCCCTGCTCATCGGTGACAGAAGCAGGTGTTGACTGCTGATGATGTGTGAGATGATCCTGTGAGGAAGGCCGGGATGCCCTTTCCTCATTCTAAAGATGACCATGCTGGGGATGGAGGGACTTGCCTAGGCCGCCACACTGGCACACGAAAGAGCCGGAGTTGAACCCAAACTCTGCCCCCCCTTCAGGAGGATCAACTGGGGTCACTTTTGGAAAGCGCTTCACACCGTGCCTGGGAACTGGGTGTTCTCAATTACTGGAACTGGATTAGCCACTGGTGTTGAGGCTTTTGTAAGCCCTTGTCTGTTCACGTAGGTCAAAGGTCATGCCAATCAGTGCAGTTTCCGTTCCTGTAAGGGTGTCAGGGTAGCACGTGCTGCAGAGGCGAGCAGGGCGGGCGTGGAAGCAGCTGTCTGCCACACTCCTGCTCTGTCTCAGTGGAGTGGGAATCGCCGATTTACATGTCTGCTCACCAGGACGATGGGAGTGGAGAGGAGGGGAGGCCACCTTTTCTGGATTCTCTGTTGAATCTCAGACTCCTGGGAGAGTTCTGCAAAATGCATTTATCATGAAAAAAGATCCATCATCGTGCATATATTCAGCTGAAAATTTTCTCCTGGCACAAAAATGTTTTTTGAAAGGACTAATAAGATAATTGTGGTGAGTTATATAATAATGGAACTGAAAAGGAGTTGGAAGAATTGAAAGAAGTGAAAAGGCAGGCTGAGTGAATTGGGGATCCTTAAAGAAACTTTTTGTTTTATCTGAACCTTATTAGGTTGGGTGCATGCTTTAACTTTTCTCCTTTGTTGCTACAGTACTTTATCTCGTGTGGGCTTTTATTCCTGAATCTTGGCTAAACTCATTAGGCTTGACATATTGGCCTCAAAAGTAAGTTTGACATATATGTATATTGTATTTTCTACATATGTTTAGAGTTACAATATTTATATGTATATTACATACTTAAAACGTATATTTACATGTATAATCTGTTGTACATATATTTACATAGACATTACATGCATATTTTTAACTTATATTTAATCATTTTTGAGAGAGACAGAAACAGCTTTCTTGAGTGCTTGCAACAGCTAGAGCAGTCAGGGAAAGAGTGAGGAGCAACATTTGGAGCTAGAAACACACCTGCATGTGCTGCTGAGGGTCCTCAGCCCTCACTGCCTCGTCATCAGGGAGCTGGAGGCAGGAGCAGAGCCAGTATCGAACGCAGGTACTCTGGTAGGGGATGTCAACATTCCAGTCCACATCTTAAGTGCTAGGCTGAATGTCCATCCCTTACTGTGTTCTTTTAAGTAATGCTGCTTCGAAGAATCACAGTTTAAAGTCCATGAATAGCTGTAAAGTTTTAAGAGCTTTTTTAAAGGTGGGAGGGAAAGAGATTAAGATATCTTCTGTCCACTGATTCATTGCCCAGATGACCGCAGCCTCCAGGGCTGAGCCAAGAGCTTCAGCCAGGTCTCCAGTGTGGGTGGCAGGGGCCCAAACACTTGGGCTATCTTCCACTGCTTTTCCCAGGCTCTTACAGGGAGTGGTTAAGAGGTAGAACAGCCGGGCCATGTACCAGTGCCCACAGAGGGTGCCTGCTTCACATGGGCCACCACGCTGAACCCCTGCTTTTAAGGACTTTATAAAGATCATTATTGCTGTGATTAAAGAGAATAGGGTATATGTACATGTTTATCCCTGTTTCCTCCCCCAAAATTTTGCTAACTTGTCCTATTTTTAAAACCAAGGTATACATTCACAGGAAAAAAGACTAGGATAATAGTTCAGAGACTGGAACAAAATTTGGGAAAAGAGATTGAGATAGATCATTTCAGCAGTTTGTTTCTGCTTTTCCCTCTTGGCTGAAGTAGGGAAAGTCCAAGAAATTACTATATTTGCAAATTAAGAACATAGCCAAAGATTTTTTAATTGATTTTTTAAATTTTAGTTTTTAATATTGTTTATATAGTTGAGAGAAGTGCACACCCGTGTGGGTCCAATTAGGGTAGTGAGGGTCCAGCTTTGAACCCTATGGAGGGAAGTGGGCCTGACAAATGTTTCAATTTTTTCCTCCTGCATCTGCAGTGAGAAAGGGGAGGGGACCACGGCTTGCTGTCGAACCACATCAGCACCCAAGGATGGATTTATTTTAAAGTGAGAGAAGGAGGGAGAGACAGAGACCATCAGTCTGCTGGTCACCCAGATAGCCATAATGGCCAGGGCTAGGCCAGCCCAAAGCCAGGAGCTTTTCCGGATGTTCCGCCAGGGTCCCAGGGCCTGAGCACTTAGGCTCTCTCCTACTCTTCTCCCCAGAGTGGAGCAGCTTTTCCTGCTGTGCCACAGTACCGGCTTTGAAGATTAAACTTTTTAAATTGAAATGTTGGAGGCTAAACAACAAAGTAGAAAATAGAAAAAAAAGTATGATTAAGTACGATAAAAGTTCCAGAAGGTAGGGCTGGTGCCATTAACAGTTCTACTGGCTAATTCTCTGCCTTCAGTTGCCAGCATCCCATATGGGCACAGGTTTGTCCCAGCTTCCCATCCCATCCAGCTCCCTGCTTGTGGCTTGGGAAAGCAATGGAGAGGGTGGCTCAAAGCCTTAGGACTTGCACCCATGAGAGCAACTGGGAAGAAGCTTCTGGCCCCTGGCTTTGGATCTACTCAGCTCCAGCAATTGTGGCTATCTGGGGAGTGAACCAGTGGACAGAACCTCTTTCTGTCTGTCTCTCCTTCTCTCTGTAAATCTGCCTTTCCAATAGAAATGAATAAATCTTAAAACAAACAAACAAAAAAGTTCCAGAAAGTAAGGCAGGCATTTAGCCTGGCTGTTAAAGTGCTGGCAGTGCCTCATCAAATATCTGGCTTCAATCCTTGGCTCCAATTTCTAATTCTAGCTTTCTACTAATGTAGACCTTAGGAGGAGGTGGTGGCAGCTGCAATAATTGGATTCCTGCCACCATCATGGGAGGCTTGGTTAGAGTCCCCAGCTTCTGGCCAGCTCAGCTGCAGCTGTTGACAGGCATTTGGGTAAATGAACTGGTACATGGATGTGATCTTGCTCTTGCCTTCCTTCCTTCCCTTGCAAATAATTACATATGTTAATAAAAAGTTCCAGAAAGAGAAAGCTCTAGGGGAGAAATTATTAAGGAAACAATGCAGTCAGTAAAACTTGGCAAGATTGAGCACTCACTGTGTTTAGCTGTATTGAGAGGGGTAGAAATCCTATCAGAGAGTTTGCATTTGACTGTCATCAGAAACCAAACAAAGAGGTGAAATTACTAATTCCAAACAAAAAAAAATTGTAGTGGTGGTGTGGTGGCGTAGTTAAGCTGCTGCCCATGTTGCTGGTATCCCACATGTGCTAATTTGAGACTTAGCTGCTCCACTTCTGATCCAGCTCCCTGCTGATGCTCCTGGGAAGATAATAAAAGATGGTCTGAGTGGTTGACCTTTTCTACTCATATGGGAGACCTGGATAGAATGCCCGGCTCCCAACTACAGCCTGGCCCCCAGCTACAGCCTGGCCCAGCCCCAGCTGTCACAGACATCAGGGAATAAACAGCAAATGGAACATTCATACCTATCTATTTATCTCCCTTTGTGTGTGTGTAGATTTTGACTCTCACACCAGTATTGCAATATACATATATAGAAAGAGAGTTGATCTTCTCTTCAGTTAAGCTGAATTAATATTGTAAATGTTCTCCATATTAATAATTAATGGATTTTATATATATATATATATGCTTTTTTTAAAAAATGTAATGCTAAGATCCTCAGTTACAAACAGGATTTATGTGGTTACAGTATTTTTAACAACTGCTGACATAACCAACTTTTTGAAGTATACAGGAGAATGAGGAAGTAAGTTCTTCATCACCGTATTAGACAATCGAGAAGACTTGTCTGAAACTGAAGAAGAAATAGTCAGACATGTTATGTAGAAATTAGAGGAGTTTAAGTATCCAAAGCAAGAGCTCGCAGGCTGAAAGTGTTCTTTCAGGATGGAAACAGGTGGAGTGGGGAAGTGCAGCTGTTGTTATAAACCTTGAAAAAGTGCCATGAACATTTAGGACATCAAAAATTCAAAAGCACGCCAGTCTTGCATTGGCTGCCGAGCGTTAGAGCTTGCTAAGGTACCATGACGCCCTTTGCTGTTTTCTTCTGCAGATACTGGGCAGTTGCATTGCCTGTGTACCTTCTGATTACTATAGTCATTGGTTATGTACTCCTGTTTGGAATTAACATGATGAGTACCTCTCCACTCAACTCCATTCATACAATCACAGGTAAGTTAATACAAAGGAAAGTGTTGGGGAAATGGAGGAGTGGGGTGTTAGCTCTTTGATCCAGAACAACACCCAAAAATAGATTGCAGGAGACACACTCAGACAAAGAAAAAACCTGGAAAAAATAAATAGGAAGTTACATCAAAGGAAATCCTTATGTAAAGATATGAAGCCTGGTGAATTTGCACCAGTTATATTCATGAAAGAAATAAACACTGACAAATTATAACAGGTATATTTTCCCATAAAAACTTTTGTTCTCAGTCTTTTTGAGAGAGCAGTTTTTGTCCTACACATTCAGGGGCCAGCAGCAGATTCCTGCACACCCCTTCAGGAGGGTCACCGTGTGCACTGGATTCCAGCAGCAGATTCATGCACACCCCTTCAGGAGGGTCACTGTGTGCACTGGATTCCAGCAGCAGATTCCTGCACACCCCTTCAGGAGGGTCACCGTGTGCACTGGATCCCAGTAGCAGATTCCTGCGCACTTCTTCAGGAGGGTCACCGTGTGCACTGGATCCCAGCAGCAGATTTTTGTGCACCTGTTCAGGGAGGGTCACCATGTTCACTGGATCCCAGCTTACTGCATGGAGGAAGAGCCATAGCACATTATACTGGCTGCTTTCTGTTTTAAGTTTTGTGTTTTTTGTTTGTTTGTTTCCAATTCAAGTCTAACGATTGAAATAAAGTGAACTGATTCTTGAGCTGCTTTAGATACAAGGAAGTAAGGTATTTTTTAACTTATGGGAGTAATTTTTTCAAGTTGGGAAACCTATTCATAAGCCAATACAATGTATTTTAAAAACTAAGTATATTTAAATTTTTTTCTGGTAAACTGGTGTATATACTTCCTGCAACCTTGACTGGAATTATAATAACTGGATAATTTATGCAAAGAGGGGAAATTGTTAAGTTTTCATGAATGTACTAAATGATTCTTATGGTATTGGCTTTCATATATTTTCAAGATCTGGATGTAATTCCGTTCCTGTGAGAAACTTCGAGTGGGGCTGATCTTCCTTACATAGTTAAAAGAAATACTAATCTCTTTCCGAGTTAAAGAGGGGAAAGTACTTTGCTGATCGCATTGTTATTTTAATTGGGTCATTTCTTCTGCAGAGAGGGTTAAGTAATCCTTTAATTATTTTAAATACATTATTTGTCATTCTCCAAACATCAGACGAGTAAACTGTATGGTGGGGCTCTATCAGTCATAGGGATTACAAGAACTTTCATTGGTCAACAAGGCTTTTTGTTCTTTTCTTACAGATAACTATGCTAAAAATCAACAACAGAAGAAATACCAGGATGAGGCCATCCCAGCATTAAGGGATATTCCTATTAGTGAAGTAAACCACAAGTTCTTTCTCACAGCCAAAAGATCTTATACTGAAAACTGATTCGGGTATAAATAACATTAGACATACAAATAAACATATGTTTCTGACATTATTATTTTGACTCTCGCTAATGCCAGTATTGAGATATACAAAGAGTTGATCTCTTCGATTAAGCTCGATTAAGCTGGATTAATATTGTAAATGTTCTCCATATTAATAATTAGTGGATAACGTAGATAGGACACTGCCATAGCATAAAGCAGACTTTTTCAACAGAACGCAGGTCAGTATAATCAAGCAGTCCCTCCAGAGACCCATTTGTCCTGTGCTTTGCAAAGGACCTTTGTGTCCTCCCTCCTGCTTGGCTTGAAGGACCCAGAATTCTGTTAGACTTGGGGGAAGGGGCTGTCAGTGGCCCTGAGCTCACTGGGAGACGGACATGGTCTGGGGTACTCCTGGAAAGAGCAGGCCCAGATGTGACAGACTTTCCCAGGCAGTCTAGGGAGTTCAGACTGAACTGTTGAGTAGCTTAAGTATAATAAATTTAAGGACTCTTGGCTACCGAGCTGTTGGGTGTCTTCAAAGAAAGCAGTCACATGACTTAATTATTTTTTTTAGATGTGACTCTGATGGGTGGAGAATGGATTTATGGATGGGGGAGGAAGTTAGAGGTTGGGATTGGAGCCTGAGTTGGAAAGTAAGGAGATCATATGGAGGCAGTTAGAACTGATGGCTGCATAGACCAGGGCAGGAGGGGAGGGGGGCAGAGCTCAGCAGCATGTACACTCGGAGTTAGTGGATTTGTGAATGAATGTTTGAATGCTATTGCCCTATTAATGTCTGCATGGGTCCAGTGTAAATGGAAAATGATTAGGAAATAAGGTTTGTATTGTTATATGTGTGTGTATATAAAATTTTAACAAGGGTGTTCTCAGGGTTAGCCAGTGAAACCAAAACTAAATCCAAATGTAGTTCTGGACAAGGCCCTGTAACTTACAACACCCTAAAGCTTGATCTAGCTGAACTTTTCCATTGACGTGTGTACATATGGCTACATTTACACACAGGAGTGGAATCACATGTGTTAACTTATGTCGATTTACATCTTCTGTATAAAAAAAAAATAGTAGCTTCTCTCTTCTTCCTTTCCTTTTTCTTTTCCTTCCCACTAAGAGGCCCCAGGGCCCAAGCTCAGCCCCCACAAGCAGAGTCCCTGAAGGGGGCACCATGCCAGAGCCATATGGGCCAGGGTGGCTACCCAACAGGGAAGGGACCTGTGGCTGGAGCTAAGCCACGTGGGCCAGGGTCCCTGGAGCGGGCCTGGTGAGCAAGCAAGCCAGTGTGATTGCCCAGCCTGCCCTGTCACTTGGCCCAGCTGCAGAGAGCCCAGAGCCTGAGCTGCCCAGGCTGGAGCAATCGCTCAGCCCTGCTGGGTGGCCCAACTGGGAGAGGGCCCAAGTCAGGGTGTTGCTGCTTTGCTGCCTCAAGTCCTGAAGACTGGTCACCTGGGCCTTCCAGGGGGCATTGCTCTTGATCCCATGGTGATCTTTGGCTCCAGCAAGCAGCCATGCTTTCATGCTCTGCTGGCTTCCAACACCTCCCAATCTGCCATCTTGGAGACTGGAACCTTCGGCAGTGTGACCTGACCTTGGCACACATGTTGCCTGTTGGACCAGCTCCTTTGCTGACTCATATGCAGGAGAACTCCTTAGTAAACCCTCTAATATAGTTCTAGAAATCTCACTGTGTCACATGAAGCTCACCTTTAAACCCAGACTATTTCTTTTGGCAGTTTGGCACCCTCTCTCTCCCTGTGGGCACCAGATGAAAGTAGAAACATATCTCTGTCACCTTGCCCTCCCCATTGCATCCATGAATGCGTGTCTGATTTTCTCACCATTTCTAATCTTTACCAAATAAACTGGGGTGGAGGGCAGTGCAATAGTTACATTGGCTAATCCTCTACCTGCAAGTACCAACATCCCATATTGGCATCAGTTCCTGTCTCGGCCACTCCTCTTCCCATCCAGCCCCCTGCTGGTGGCCTGGGAAAGCAGCAAAAGATGCTTCAAGGCCTTGGGCTCCTGCACCCACTGGGAGACCTGGCTCCGGATCAGCTCAGCTCCAGCCATTGCAGCCATTTGGGGAGTGAACCAATGGATGGGAGATCTTTCTCTTGTCTCTCCTTCTCTCTGCAAATCTGACTTTCTAATAAGAAAAAAAAAAAAACTGCTGGTAATGTTAAATAGTTGTGGGAGCGAGGACTTCCATCTCAGTAGGCACATGTGTCCAGTGACGGCCGCCTGCCTTTGCTTGGCAGTGTTGCGTGATGAGAGGACATCATGACACTTAAGGGGTGTTCAGGGCAGACAGCCAACTGTCACATAATGAATGGTGAGTAAACTGCTCTGCTGGTTCAAGGGTGCTTCATCAGTTTTTTTTCCCCTCATCAGTTTTTTGGAGGACCCTCTTGTGTAGCCATGCACACAGGCTGAAGGACTGCATCCTTGCAGTCTGACTAAATAGCACACTTTGAGTGTTGGGCTAAACAGTGCAAACACTGGGATTCCATGATCTTCAAATTCAAACTAAGATGCCAAATATGAGTCTGAAGCTCACCTGTGGAGGAGGCAGAAGGTCTGAGGGATCCACTGCTGAGCCACAGATGCTGTGTCCTGATCTAGCTGGTAGGTACCTGGGGCTGTACGACACAAATTTTCAAAGGGCAGAAACGATACTTGTACTCCCTCCCAGAAGGTTGGAGTGTGACCCAGGCAGGGTCACTTCCTGCTATTTCCTAGCCATTCTAACAATGCAGCCAGGGTCATGAATGACTGCTGGCCAAGCAGGAAGAGAAGGCCAGCAGTTCCCAGTCTGATCCCAGCTCTGGGACGTTCCTGCACGTATCGGTAGTGTTCCCTGGTCCTCCCTGGGGCCAGCGAGGGGCCTAGAAAACTTGTGAAATGGATCAGCATAGACCCTATAGCTAGCATTGACTGTTTACACCTTCTCAGCCACAATGTTCTTTTTTGTTGTTGTAATTTTAATGAAGCTGGATGGGAAATGGGGCTGCCGGGATTAGAACTGGTGTCCATATGGGATCCCAGCACATTCAAGGTGAGGACTCTAGTCGCTAGGCCAGCGCCGGCCCCACATTGTTCTTGTGATTGAAAACAGTTCTACCAGGGTTCTTTAAACTGGCTGCAAGCTTTTTGAGTGCCGTGATCATCAGAGTGCTTTGCTTCTTCACCTGTTTTTTGTTTTTAAGATCATGACCCCTTCATACTTAGAAAGACTAAGAGCCCAAGAAAGGTGTTGTGTGCAAATTTATATTTAGGAAGTAAATATTTGTGAATAATACGGCTGTTGCTTTTTGTTATAAAATTCAGGGTCAGGTCTACAGCCCGGAGCTAACATACCTCCTGAATCTGATTATCTCTCCAGCTCTTAATTCCAGCTTCTTGTTAACGCATGTCCTAAGAGGCAGCAGGAAGTAGCTCAGGTGATTGCACCCCTGCCCACCCACGCGGGAGATGTGCGTGGAATTCCTTGTCCCAAGATCTGGGTTGGCCTTGCTGGAGCTGTAACCAGCATTTGCAGCGGGAATCAGCAGACGGGAGTGTCCCTTCCCTCTCTACCCCACCCTCATCTTAGCCTCTCAAATCAATAAATGCCACTTTAAAATTAGTTTGATCATCACATTCTTATCAGATGTCTCCATTTCCTAAACATTTAGCCTAAATAATTACTGCATAGTCTTACTGCAAAAATATAGTGTGATAAAATATTTAATGAAAAATAGCTTTATATTTTCAGAAACAAAAAGAGCACTGAGACAAGTAGAATTGCTTTAGATTTTTGCTAGTGTCCAATCTCTGTAATATTTGGCTCGATGGCTTCTGTCACAGCTGCTTCTGCATCACAAAGCCTCTGGAAGATTCTGTTGCCAGCTGATGACAGAGCAGGAGTGCAAGAGAGAGGTATCATCTTAGAATTACTTTGAAAATGTTTTTGATCCTACAGACCCCTGAGGAGGGATCCCTGGGCCCTGGACTTCCGAAAACCACTGACAAGTGGATCCGAACCAACCTGTGTGTACAACTGCTTTAGTTGGGCATCTCTTGCAGCCACATCCCCTCTGTTCCAGCACTCTCCAGCAGCTGATGCCCCAGACCACTCCCTGTGAGCTTAGACCACATCCACTCAGGTGCTTCTTGTGCTGTACCCTGTAGGACCGTCCTGGAGCCTGCCGTGGGACAGACATCAGGAAAAACATCCACGACCATCCCCCAAAGAGATGAAGCTGAGCTCCATGCATTGAGCTCGGTTGCCATGGTAGCAGTCACCTGCATGTGCTGGCTTGTCCACTGTCAGTTCTGTTGCGCTCCGCCTGCCTTTCACTGCTGCCCTCTGCAGTCATCTCCCCAGTTAACTGCCCACACACAACCCCATCACACAACCCTGCTCTTGGGGTGGGAGTGGGGTGGCAACTCTAACTGAAATGTTTTTATTTGGTAAAAGGTGAACATCAGTTACATGCTTGTGATGCATAAAGCATTTCTTTGCTGCATATCCTAAATTAAGAAAAAAAATGTGGAAAACACTGTTTTGCGGTGAGCCCAGATAATAGCAAAGAATACGGCAAATGGCAAACACCAGTGATATGAAAATGCTCTCAGCATTAATGAGCACCCTCCAGGGCTGAAACTGACAGAATTAAGTCACAAATCCAAGTAGGAAATGACTAGCCAGCGGAGTTCAAAGCTCCAAGTCTGCCCTTGCTAAGTTCTTGACCCCTACTGGGGTCAGAAGGATTTCAAGTACACGCCTGGACTTTCTGCAGAACTGCTGCCTAGCCTATCATGTGAACGGTGACACTCCTCAAACATCTGGCTCAACCAAAAATGTCTTGTGTACCCCAAATTTTAAAGCAGCCATAGGACACACAAGAATGCCATTATGGGGCCTGTGTTGTGGCACAGCCAATTAAGCCACCGCCAGTGTTATGGTACTGCTTTGAGTCCTGGCTGCTCCACTTCAGAACTAACTAACTGCTCAAGGAAGGACAGTAGAAGACAGCCCCACATGGAAGCTCCAGATGGAGTTCCTGGC